AAGAGTATTATGCAAATGCAATGCAATGAACATATATATGTAGATAAAATTTCACATCATGAAGTTCAAGTCAAGTTCTCTAACTCTCCAGTGGAGTTGCCAAAAACTGTAGCTGGTTTTTCGTGCTCCTCGGAGAGGTTTAGTCTCCTCAAGTATGATTCCCTATAGTTTGGACTCCCGTGGTTTTGAATTTGGTTTCACAAGTGCAATATGAAATAGAAAAAATGAATGACAATCCAAATACGGCAAATTTAGAAAAATCCATTAATCACAAGAGATGCCAAAAATAGACTGCATTGCCAGATTTCAGAGTTGCCACCTAATATTTTTAGGAAAATTAGGAAACTCGTGACTCATGGTAAAGGCCACTTGTCCATTACAACCAAAATGTCTCGGTTCGGAAACTTAGGTATGAGAGGGGAAGGTCATTAATTGAGCGCTTCACTTATCCAATCAAAGATCAGCCTCTACTAAGTCATGATGCAAATCTTATAGGCATTATATGCTCATATTCTGATTTATTAATAATGCAAATATTATTATGTGAAGCAAACAAGTATAGATCATATCACTTACTTTGGAATGCTTTGATCTTATGCGATTTTTGAAAGAGTTTTGAATATGTACAACTCAAAGGAAAAATGAGCTCATATATACAACAGTCAAAGTCATTCCAACTTAAGCAAAAATAGCCTCCATCCAGAGGCATTCGTAGAGTTATTTCAAGTAAGCAAGTATCCTCATGGTAGTATGCTCAACATGTTAACATAAACACACACATGATATGCTAAAACAAAAAATGCTCACCTAGTACTCATCAGCGGCAAGCCAAAGAAAAGAAGATAATTAAAAAGATGCATGATCCTAAAAATGCACATGACTAATGCAACACATACAAAATGCAACTACTATATTCGGCTATTAACATGACATGTGAATCAACACAAAGTATGAGATAGTGCATATAATCAAGTAGTAGGAAATGATAACAACATCAAGTATGATGAGTCGAATCTTAATGCATGCAAAAATGGATACAAAGCATGGAAATGATAAAGGAAAATATGATGCTTTATATAACTATGGTAAGCGTAAATAAAAGAGAGAAAGAAATAGAGGTTGGAAAACATACATCAAGTGTTACAAATTTGTCCTCTTTAGAAGAGGGTCCAAATAGCCTAATTAACTAATTATTACACCCCTAAATGAATTAACTAATTATTACATATACAAATTTCAGAGTGGCTAAGCTAAAAGAGTTTGAATAAAGGGCGGGAAACTGTGCGTGCGCAAACGAGAACATCTTTCAAAAATCGCTCAACTTGCCAGAAATTGCTTTGTTCGTAGCCAGAAAATAGTTCTGCTTTAACATCAAGATCTGCTCTGCTAAGCTGAATAAACTGGCCGTACAAATGAGTTGGTCGGCTGTACACTTGACTTGGCCGACCGGCTAACGGAATTGGTCGGTCGTACACTTGATTGGCTGGCCGTAAAAGCATGCTAGAAAACTTGCTGCAACAGAACTGGAATGAAGCCAATAGAGGGTTTCCAAAGGATGTTCATCTTCCTGCTCCCTCCTATCATGAAGATTTTCGAGGAGGAAATAGGTTTGATTTACAAACCATCAAACATCTTAAGGGTATTACATGATGATTGGTGAAGCAACATGATGAAAGATCTAATGAGTATGAAGCCAAACACAAAAAGAATCATTCAAAGAATTGGTTGGAACCTACTACATCTCATAATGAATGAGAGTAAATGACTACTCAAATTTGGAGAGAATAGGTTACAAAAAACCATCTTTGAAAAAAAGGCTTGTAAACAAGAGGTTACATCGTTGAAGAAAGAAATTAGAGGCTCCTCTCCCCACTCATGGAACGTGGATTGATATCCATTTCTATGCTTCAAAATAGAACTAGAAGAGAGTTTCTAATACTTTCAATGAAAGAGCTTTCATTTTGCTTTGAAGAGAACAAAATCTAAACCAAAAGAAAACAAATATAACAACTCAAAAATTGTTTTAAGCTCCTCTTCCTACTTATGGAATAAGGATGAAACATCCATTTCCGTGCTTCAAAGTGGAACTAGAAGAGAGTTTTCAACACTTTTCTCTATATGAGCAACAACGGAAATAAGGGAGAAAATCAAAAATCAAGCTAACTATCAAAGCTTAAACACACAACTCGTCAAAATTGTTGACAACTCCTCTTTTATTCATGGAATAAGAATGAGACATCCATTTCCATGTTCCGAAAATGATTGAGAAGAGAGTTTTTCAACACATTTAACACAGAAGCTATCACCTAGCTTCAAGGTAAACAACAATATTATGAAAGTGAAAGATTTACAACTAGTTAATCAAACTTGTGACGGGATGGCTAAGCTCTAAACCTCCTATGACCACAAGGTTCCAATATACTAAGGAAAGCTATGAGAACAAAGGCAAAGCGATCAACTCAAACGGATTGGTGGCTATATCCTAAACACACCAAATCCGTGAGGACTATTGTGCTATTACAACAGTGCAAATATAGTATTCAAAGCATAGAAAATAAGAAAACATATTCAACTTGATCATATCATAGAAGTCATGTATTGGGGAGGACGATGACCCTTTTAGAAGCCCATATTCAGCTTATATCACACAAAAATAACCTAAAAACAGTGCTGAAAATTAACTAAAAGAAGTAAAAAAAGAGAGCAAAGATGAAAGAGAACAAAGGAGTTACAACTAGTGAATAAGCCTATGGAAAGGTGGCTAGCCTGCCCTTCCACTTTTAACAAAGCTCAATCACATTTTTAAGCCTAAAATAACTCTAAAAATCAGTATATAACAAGAAATGAAGAGTAAAAGAGTAAAAGAAAAGGTGATGAAAGGAGTTCAAAGGTTAACCTCTTGGAGAGGAAGAGCTTCTTAGTTAACAAACTTCAATCCAAACACCCTCAAGTGTCTAAAAAGTGGTTTAAAACTTTAGCAAAAAACTTCAAGTTTGAGCTCCAATGGTGTATCTATAGTGTATCTATAGTCAAGAAGGTTTGAAGATCAAGAAAGAGCTTTGAACAATCTCCTAAGCCTTTCGAAAAAATTTCTAACCCTAAATTCTGAAGGGCAATGGTCTACTTATAGAATTTTAGCCTTCTTCTGTCGGAAATATCTTCAAAAAAGGACAGGTGGCCAAATCCCGTGCATAAGAGCAGCCTGTGCTGCAAATGCAGAATCTGACGCTACACATGGCCAACTGGCCAAATGATTTTATGGCCGGCCAAATTAATTAACCTGCTGCTCTCTGCGTAGTCAGGCTAGAAAATAGGATTTTGATCAAAAGGGGTGCAAGGTCTGGGTTTGGGGCTCGAATTCAAATTCTTTTGCTAAAGATTCAAAAGTTGCACAACGTAATGTAATGGCAGTCAATGAGGTGTCTACAATAGGCGCTAAACGTATTGGACCAAAATACCTTCCCATTCAAAACCATTTCTTCTCCACAATAGACAAAGAAACATCACTCCCATTTTCTCGGACGATCGACCTTCTTAATGATTTTCTCCACCCTCTCTGTAACGCCCCCAAATTTTATTACTCGAATATATTACCAAGTTCCTTATTAAAATTCAATTACATAATAAAATGCGGAAGCAAGAGTACAAATGAATAAATAGTGTTATTCTCTCTCATATTATACAAATGATGAAATACTCAAATACAACATATTACAAAACATGCCCTTAGGCTTACATTGAAAGTTACATAATAAATAACTATAAAGAATAAAAATACATTCTCTTTCCAATACATGGCCACTTCGCCAACAATTAATCAATACCTAAACCACAACAAAATAACTCCCTTCATTCTTGGACAATTCATCCGACTCAGCACCTGAAAATTTGTTTAACAATAGGGATGAACACAAAGGTCCAGTAAGGGTCTACAATGATTCTAATCAATAATAACCTATAGATATATGTGATCATGAGTGCTTTTGTTATACATACAGATGTAATGATGTCTTTTCATATCCAAAGTATTTACATGCGTACATATGTAATGAAAGCTTTCAATGAGATTTTCAATCAATCTCAAAGGACCAAGGTGAGAGGATGACGCAAAGTAAGTAGATCTAAGAATCTAAGTGAAAATGCTTGAGTTTTGGAGAGAGAGAATGGTGTTCACGGTTATAAGAGAAAGAAAAGGAGAAAGTGAGAAAAGATAGAGTATGGAGGCCTATTTATAGTACAAGAACCTAGTGAGTTGTTAGCCCTAAAGTCAAATAAAATATACATCAAAAATTCCAAAAGTAGGGCCCAAAATGCAGTAGAAATATCTTTGATTTTCTTTGAAGTGTCGACCCAGCAGCAGTGAGCAACAAGTGAGTTTGGAAACCCAGGTGTCGACACCTCCAAGCAGTGTTGATCCACGAACAAATCAGACTAAGTAGTGTCGACACTAGGAAGAGGTGGTACCAAAAAGTATAAACCTCTGGAGAAAAAGAAGGCACGCAAGTGTTGACCCTAGGAGGTCCAGTGTCAACACCCAGATTAGAATTTCTAGGTTCCAAAGCACTTCTCTAACAAAAGTAAGCGCAAATGAGCATCCTTATGAAGTCTAGATTAGATTTTCACTCAACAAACACGATTATACACCACCAAAGGATCTCAATGACCAAAGAAATGAAATTAAACACGTCTCATGGACTTAAGGAGCACAAGTGTTACAATCTCCATAATTGACGAACAGAGAATATTGCTCCGATTTTCTCATAACCTAATTTCTCTTAAGCATTTTGGAAGCAACACTTTCAAGTTTCTTTGAAGTTTCTCTCAAGTTTCATATCAACTAGAGAGAAAATCAATAAAATCAACTCGAAATCAACAAAATCGGGGTTAGTGTTTTCACAACCAACAAACCAGTAAGTTTTTCATTGCCTAACCTAATTTCTAAATGATTTTGGATCTACATTTGAACTGGACAATATATTATGTCTAGGTAAAATTAGGGCTTCTTATTCAAGATTCTAGTATATTCATTAATAATTGTTTACAAGGTCAAATTTAAAAGAAAAATTGAGTTGCATTATCAAATGTCCCAAATTTTCTGTCATTGTACAATGTGCCTTTCCCTTACACTTGTCGCATTGAATTTCACTGATATTACAGTTTTCCTATGTGCACATAAAACAAATGTGCATTGCACTTCCTCTATGTGTGCATACAATCTTTGGATGCCAGTCCATGGTGGCCAAATGCAAGGGTGTGTTTCCATGCTTATCCCCCTCATGTTTATAAAGCTTTTCGAGCTCAGGAGTTTGGAGAATGTAACTAACCATGTTATGTCCTCTGCTCTTGGCAGCAACATGAAGAATATTTTGACCATGACAATTGAGCAGTTCCCTTGAATCAGGCCAATACTGAAGCAATGCCCGGACAACATCCATGTGGCCTTAATTGATGCTAAATGAATAGGAAGTAAGCCATTGTTGTCCCTTGCAATAGCACCTGAACTGTGTCTTCCTAACAAGTACTGAACCTCTTCAAGATAGCCCAATCATGCAATCAAGTGAAGTGGAGTCCTTCCTTCATCTCTTAATTGAATGAACCAGGGTTCTGATTGCAATAAGGCATCTAAAACACCTGGGATTTTAAAATAAATTGAGAAACAAAAATGCAAAAGCCAAAGAGAAATCAAGAATAAGTGTTAGAATTATGTCGGTTTGTTTTTAAAATGGCAGCATGAATAGGTGATTACCCTTTAAGTCTTTCATTTGTATTTTCAATCCCAACTGTATCACATAGAATATGCGTGACAAGTTCCAAAAACCCTACTTCAGCAGCTAGAAACAGAGCTGATTTCACTTCATTGTTCAGATAATATAACACTTACGGATCTACCGTGATCAAATATTAAGCTACAACTTGGTGACTGTTCATCAAGGCCTCGTGCAATGATAAGTTGCCGTTTTCATTTTTTACCCTCAAAAGCAGATTATCCCAATCAACATCTCTCTAAATTTTCCCCCCATTTTTAGAACACATTTGAATCCCCAGAGCATATAAATCAACCAGATCAATTACTTCCTTTTTTTCTCTTTTTGTTAAGTACTCAATACAATTTACTTGATAGAATACTTCGAGTAATCATCGTCAACATACAGAAGCACAAGAATTGCAAAAAGTAATGCCAACTGAACTCTGAAGCAACAAAAATTATTGACATTACTTCAAAGAGACATAACAATCAAGTAAAACTGATACAAGGGAAGCCAAATACTCACCTGAGACCGAGGGAAGATATCAGCAAAAAGATTTTTGTACCACTTCACAGGCTGTCTCGACCTTGCCCGCAGGGAAGGATAGAAGAAACAGACTTTACCACAAATGGGCAAAACCCTCCTCGACATAACCCCCATTTTCCAAGGAATTGAATTCAAACCCCTCCAATGAAAAACCAAATCACAAATTCAAACCAAAATTCACCAAAACAACGCTGACCCAATTGACCAATTGAACAATAATTCAGAAGAATTCCCACAAATTTCATTTTTGTGGCAATTTAATGAATTGGACACAACAAAATTGCCAAAGAAAAGGTCAATAAACATATCAATTTTGCAAAATTCAAGCAAATTTATCAAAATCTAAATCATGCCCACCAATCCAAACAATACTAAAATTCATATACTGAACAATCCAACTGTTAAGATCGTGATCTAGATAAGCCTACCAACGAACGAACAAAATTGAGACAAAAAACAAAAAAGGGTCAAAATATTGATGAGTAAAGGAATGAAAAACTAAATAATTTCCATAAGAAGCTCTGGTTATCAATTCAAATGCTAATAATTAACGTAAAGAAATTAAAAATTGAGTGAATACTCTTCCAAAGGACCTCTAATAGTATAAATCCTCTACCCACCAAACAAGCTGCCATATCTCCCCTCAATCAATCTTCTCCAAAGACTATGCCTCTTTAGTGTAAATCTCAATAGCCATTTTTCTAATATCGCCTTATTAAATAAGTCCAGCTTCCTAATCCCAACACCTTATTGAAACCTCACTACAAAAATAGATTTCCATTAACTACTATACAATCTTTAAATGCCTTCAATTATTAACCGATTTTTTGAAATTTAGCTGAAATTCCAACCAAACTGATAGACAATATAAGAAAGCCATTCTTTTCCAGAATGCCAATTTCACCAAATTTTTATTTTTATGTCGACTTCCGATTTTTATTTCAGAGTCATTTTTCTATTCAACTTCTTTTTTTATTTATTCCAAATAGACGTTAAGGTATAGTGGTTTCTGGAATGAACTTCCATTTTAATTTTCTGCAAACTTCCATTTTATTTTTATTTAACTTCTTTTTCATTCAGTGTCTTTCTATTTCAACTTCCTTTTTTATTTAATTCCCAAATAGATCGTTAAAGTATAGTGGTTTCTGGAATGAACTTCCAATTTTAATTTAAGCAACTTTCATTTTTAATTTTTATTCAATTTCTATTTTTATACAATTTACATTTTCAATTAAAGTTCCTTTCTTATTTAATTTCCAAATAGATCGTTAAGGATTATAGTGGTTTTCTTTAAATGAATTTCCACTTTTAATTTTCTGCAACTTCATTTTTAGTTTTATTCGACTTCCATTTTTATTCAAGTATTTAATCTATTCAACTTCCTTTTTTTATTTATTTCCAAATAGATCGTTATTGCATAATGGTTTCTTTAATGAACTTCGATTTTTAATTTTTTGCAACTTCCGTTTTTATCTTATTTAAGTTTCTTTTTTGTTCTGGTTTCCTTTTCTACTCAACTTCCTTTTTTAATTTGATTATCCAAATAGATCGTTAAGGTATAGTGGTTTCTGGATTTGTTACATTCACATGTTTTAATTTTTTGCAACATCCATTGTTATTTTTTATTCAGCTTCTATTTTTATTTCAATTTACTTTTTTATTAACTTCCTATTATTTAATTTTCAAAATAGATCGTTAAGGTATAGTGGTTTCTTGAAGGAAACATCCCAATTTTAATTTTCTTTCAATAACAGCGACCCCGGTTCTTTTCCATTTGATTATTGTATCCGGACTTAGTTCGTAGATTCTGTCATTGTATATTGTTGTTGGTTGTCCCTTATTTTCTCATTTGGAATTATAGGATGTGTTGGGCAGGTTTGTTTCAGGTTGGTTGGGTTTAGAAAACCAAGTGTTGCTGTCCAAGTTTTGGGTTCTTCTTCGAGCGAGGAGTTTTTCGCTCGAGCGAGAGGTTGCTTCTGATTTGGACCTGTAGCTGTGCATTCTTGGCATCGAGCGAGCTTTTCTTCGCTCGAGCGAGTAGTTCCGGTTCTTCGCTCGCAGCATAGTTCCTTCGCTCGAGCGTGTGTCTGGTACGACCTGTGGGTTTGAGTTCTTCGGCTCGATCGAGTTTTTCTTTCGCTCGAGCGAGCTTTGGAATTGTTGGCTCGAGGCAAGGCTTCTTGGCTCGAGCGTTGCTTTTCTGTGTTCTGGGTCGCTCGAATGCGACCATGTCTTCGCTCCCGAAGCGAGCCTGTCCAGTTTATAACACAGCAGCGGGTTTTGACAGTCTTTTGATTTTCTTTTGATTCCAAACCCTAGGTCCGACTTCTCTCTTCCCTACTCACCTTCTTTCTTAGATTGAATCCACTTAGGGTGTTGTTTCTACCCTAGATTCCATCATTAAAAAGATAGAGGGAGTCGAGGGCTTTCATTTTAATCTGAACATTGGCGATTTGGAGCACTTTGGTATTGGGGCCAACTCATCTTTGTCTCACCATTTTGTGTTGTTTTCTTCGAGGTAGGGATTTCCTACGCCATTTTATAGGTTTGTTCTAAGCTGTTGGTAATTTGTGATATGTTGGGATACTTTTGGTAAATTTTGGGAAAAACCCTATTGTATTATTGAATAATTTGTATAAGAATTCAGGAATTGAGAAAAGATGTGGTTTAAATTC